GTCCAGCCTTGTCTTTTCCTGGTATGCTTCCCAGATAGCCAATGTTCGGTCTTCTGAGCCCACTGGTGATGGGTAAGGGTAACTCATGATTTTATGAAGACCATCTTGTCTCACATAAAGTCATTTGTACATCAGGGATTTTCCTGGTTTTGGATGTTAGGGTTGGTAAATAGTGCAATCTTTCAAGAAGTATGTTATTTTTTAAGTTCTTGGGGGGTTTTTCTGTCTATCCCAAGCTCATATAGGTCCTGCACCCTAAGCAAGTGATCTTGACTTGGTCTTCTGAGAAAGGACTCGTACCAGGCATCCCTCTGGGAGTGGAGCTTACTAAAAGAAAAGTGATTACAGGAGGGTGTCACTCCTCAGGGATTTTTCCATGCTCTTCTCTGGCATAGACGTAGGAGTCTAAAGTGGTGACTAAGGTCACTGCTTTGTTCACAAAATGGCGCTGAGGTGACAGGATCCTCCTGAACCATCAGAATGAGTAAATTACCAGGCAACTCTGTTCACGTGTCTGATGGGGAAATACACCTCCTTTAGATAAGAGCCAGCATTTCCTATCTCCTTGGATGAATGCCCCGCAGATAGCAGCGCTCGCCGTCTATCCCCAGGGAACATGTGGGCAAAGGTGCCGGGCCGCGCGGCAGGGCTGTACCCTAGGTGCAGGACGACTGTAGCGCTGGCGCCTGGCAGCAAGCATCCCTTGCCTTCAGCCCGCTGCCGCACAGTAATTACAGGGTAGGCCGTAGGCCAGCAGAGCTCTGGGCACGTGCGTGAGCAGGCCGCGGGGGTGACGCTCCGAAGCGCTGTCGCGGCGCTTGTGGGGAGCGGTTAGCTGGGTGACGCTGCGGCTGTGGGTTACTTCCCGAACGCCACAGTCGCTCGGCGTGACTGCCGACGGGCTCAGCCAGTGGGTGTCTGTGTCGCTGAAACTGTCGCTGATGTGGAGTACGTGCCCGGGTGGATTTGGATGCCTTGCTGCCCTTTCTTCTGAGGCGCAGGCAGAGGAGGACTGAAGAGCTTTTTTTTTTAATGCAGGAAACATAATATAGTAACCAAACCCAAATTATATAAAGGTAGCTTTTGTGCTCAAGATCCGTATTGTCAGTGTTCCACGTTTCTAATAAAAATTGGAGGCAAAGTAAATCATTAACTAAGTCCTCTGCAAGCAGACAGTGTAAACAACTGTCATTAATACATGCTCGCTTTTTTGGAGCGTAACAACCATTAATCTTTCTCCCTTGGTCGGTTTCCATTATATGGGAGAGTGACCCAAGGGTAGCTGTGCTTGGCTAACAGGATTTCGGTTACGGAAGTGTTGAAACCTGAAAGCATCTCTGTGTGGCCAGGAGGTGGGGAATGCTGCCATCCAAAGAGCCATATTCAAAAGGGCTCGGATTTAGATTGCTCAAATGAGCCAGATTTTGTTAGCTGTGTAGCTTTTGGTTTAAAGCTAACTTAACTTTTTCGGTAGACTTCTTTAAGATAAACTGTTAAACAGCCAAGAAAGCCCTAGGGGTTTGTTACTTGTTTATTGTATCTGAGAGTGTTAATACACTCTGCTTGGTGAGGGTTTTTTTTGATGTAGGTATGTTAGATAGGGAAGCATGCTAGATTAATTGGAGTAACATCTAGCTTTGCTTCAGCAGTTTTACCTTCAGTCTTTTCTTGTATGAGACTAATTTCAGAAATTGGGTATAAAAGGAGAGATATTATGATTTTCAGTTGAAAAGATGCAGCTAGAATAAATATGTAAACGGCCCTTTTTTGGAACCTACTGGAATACAAATGAGGTGTCTGAACTAAGTGAAATTTCTTTGATGCTACTACATTTTTGATGACTCCTCTACTAGATATCAATAACTTAGTATTTCCAGGCAGATGAACGATGATGAACTTTACAAAACTTACTTGATGCTGTTGAAAAGTCTAAGAGCTGTTTAGCTGTGTAGGTCTGAAGTACTGCACTTGCTCTACCACAGGTAGTTTTCAAATGGGGCACTGTAGTTTATTAAGAAGAGTCTGAAGTTAAGAAACTCGATGTTATATGGAGTTTTTTTGTTAAAAAGCAAGTAATGATGTTGGGAGAAGTACAAGCAGTATTCTGAACTTCAAGCTATGCCACAATAACATTGAGCAATACTTTATGTAACTTAATTAGAAATATTCCCAGGACAGATTGATTCAACATCAGTTTGCTTTTCTGTATTCTTGACATTTTGACTGTAGGCTCTTACTATTTGTGGGCTGGTGATGATTCATGCATTAATCACTAGTCAACACTGAAACTGCCTTCACAAACTCAACAGCTGCTTTCCTGCCAAACCAGCGAGCTGTTCCTCTGCCTTAAACTGGCTGGAGCAAAGAGTAGGCAGAACCTTCTTTCCTTCAGTCTCCCGATTTGTTCTTCAGTGGGTTTTTTCTGGTTTTTCTTTGCCTCCATATCCCTTATGTTTCGCTCGGCTCCATCTGTATTCCTCTCCATCCCTGCCCCAAGACCGTGGGAGCAGGTGATGCTGAAGCACAGTGCTCCCTCTCGTCGCCATCCTTGTGTGTGTCGGCTTGCTCGCAGTGCAACAGCTCTCTTGCCGCTTCGTTGAGGACAGCTCAGTGTCTCGTGCTTAATGCTTCTGTCTCATCACTGATGCCGCAAATCCAGCGGCTGCCCAATGTTCCTGAAGAAGGAATGGGGTTTCAGAGCACTGGTTCCACGCTAACAAAATTGGGATTCATATCATGGTGTACGCTTAAATATCATGGTGTACGCTTAACCTTGAAAAAACCTAGTAGTTATGCAGGTGGTGGTTTTTACTCTGTTCCCACTATTACTTCAACTTGCCGATGGTGATTTGCCAGCTCTTCATTCCCAGAATCCGTCTTCCATTTGGTGTGTTCTGGTACCTCTGCGCTGTCTATTGTTGTTCTCTGAATCATCTCTAATGGGCAGGTCTGTCATGTTTTCCTTTAGGTCAGCAACATTTTCTTCATTGTTTTTCAGTCTCTTCTTTCCCCTGTATTTCTTTTTAAAACTGATTTTCTTTTTTTTTTTTTTCCTCCTGCTTCTTTTTTACTGCCTGTTACTTGTTTATTTTTAGCTCTAACATTGCCAAGGTGTTGGTTTGGTTTTTTTTTAATAGCTATCAAACAAGGGAGACAGCACACTGACAATTTTTCATTCTAGTCTGTTTTCCATGGGCAGTGTCAGTTCACATAGCCATGGACTCTTACTCCCTGACTCTGTGCTGTGCTAGAAACCTTCAAGAAGGTGTAAGCAGCTTAGGTAAAATGTAAATAAGTTCCAGTTGTAAGTTTAATTGGAGGAAACTTTGCAAATTGAAGCTTCCATGCGGAGGAGCATCAATTATTTCTAGCGCTGCACTGAACCGCAGTAAATAACATTTGTGCTTGTGTTCCTCAGTGAATGTTGAGCTGGGTGTAAAGTCAAAGGTAGGACAATTCTGCTTTAAATATCCGTTTTCTACATGGATTCTTAAGCAATTCATTCTTAAGCAATTTCTTTCTTCTAACTCTGGTTTCAGGTGCAGACTCTTTAAACAGCTGGGTAAAGTGTATGAATTCCAGCTTATGTTTTGGCCCACTTTGGTGCTGGGGGAAGATGTGTTGTTGCTAAGGGGAAGGCAACAGGGGAAAAGGCTTGCTGAGTGCCAGAGAAATGGTTTCCAAAGTGTTCCTGCAACTGAAGTACCTTCTACACAAGTCGAGTTGACCTAAGTCCCAATTTTTCCTAATAATTGACTTAAGCTATGGTGCATGCAGTTGTATTTGTAGTGAAAAAGTTTTAAAATGGGGTTTTGCTTTTTGAAAACTTCTTGGGGAGGGAAGCTAGCTAATGGATAATCCCTCAGCTGGATCCTTTTGCTGTGTCAGCAGTCAAACGGATTAGCATGTTTGACTCCTCAAAGCTTATTTGCTTGAGATAAATGGAGTGGGTTATGTCTTGCAGCTGCCTTTTTTTTTCAGGTTTCCTGCGAGACTACAGTTATAAGTGTGAGCTGATAAAGTCCTGGCATGGAAATGGTGCAGTGAGCTTTGGATGTGTGTGTGGTGGAAATTGAGAATCAGAGAAATGGAGTGCTCTACAATAAAGAGCTCGGAACACCTTGGTGTGATTTCACATACAGGAACACTGTCCAGTTAGTCTTTACTGCAAATAAAGTATGGGATAACCAGCTTTCTGGCTGTATCCAGCCTGCTGCAGCGTGTCCCCTAGGCAAAACTCAGTGGATGCTGGCCTATGTCTGCCCTGCAGTGAGAAGGGATGATCCCCTGCTGCTCTCGCCCTGCTAAGTCGGTACTAGTGTGGTCAGTCGTACTAGTGCTCTGGGGCTGGAGGGGAGCAAGTGGGGGAAAAGCTGTGGGTCAGCTTAGTCTGGTGTTAGTTTAAACCAGTCAGGAAAACATAACCTCAGTCTGTGTCAAGGTCTTGGCCCTCATCCTCCTCTCAAGCGCAGAGCACGCGATGACATTAAAGAGAAGTTCTCCTGGCAAGGGTGGCACGCTCCATCACGCTATTTTTGGCAGTCAAGCCAAGCTTTCTAAATGCTGCATTCAGTGCACGTACAAATGAAGGCTGCGTGGTGCGCTGCGGGGGGAAGGCTATAGGCATGCAGGATCAAATATGCTAAATCGGGTCTGGCTGAAGCCTGCAAAATAGTTGCTGTGTAGGGTGAACACGGAGTAGCTGTCTGGAACAGTATGACTGGTGTTTGTTGCAAGTTCTTCTTATACTCTCTGAGGACCCAGCATGTCAACAGTTTCGGTTTGGGTGGCTTTGTCTTCTTATAAATGGGGTGTTAAATGTGTCCTCTGTGTTAGCCATGTTGAAGCTATTACAGAGGCTGTTAATGCCCAAGTTTCTGAACTGAACTGCTGTTCAGAATATACTCCTAAAATGTCTAGTTGTGCACACTTATCTCTTTGGGATCAAAAAACCTAAAAACTTACGTGACACCAAGTTAACCACTCGTCATTCTCAACAGGCTTTTTACAGGCTTCCTCTTCATTTGAGGTGAAAGATTCAAGTGGTAAAGTCTGCATAATTGCTGATCTGACAGTAGCCTTCTCAGTGGAATACAAAAGCTATGGGCAGAAAGAGGTAAGGGGGGGTATCTCACTGCTTGCCTCTAACTTGTGTTTCCAAAATGTGTGGTGTTTCTGCATGTGCAGTGCTTAAACTTGGAACAATATTGAAGCATGAAAAACTGCTTCAGCAAAGATTCCTCCCTCCCAGTCATGTTGCATCAACTTTTCTTCTTACTGATGCTTCTTCGAATGAAACAGGGTTAAGGCTGTCTGAAACCACCACAAGCAATGCACGTATGAAATTACCTTTGTGACTGAAATTCCACACCAGTCCTATTGGTAGCTAAATCGGCTTTCATTGGAACTGTAAAAGTAAAAAGCTACAGGTCATCTTTTGATGAACTTGGCCATATTGAAACGGACTAATTCTGAACCGAAATGGTTGTTGGCACATGGCTTTTAAACGTCCCCGAAATCTGTGATCATCTCGCTGAGCAGCTCTCTAGCTTTCAGTGTGTCTGCAGGCCTGCGCAGTGTGTGCAGGTTGTTCCATATTAACAGCAAAAGCCTGTTAATGGAAAGTGAAGAATTTTTATTCACAAACACTTTTTGGTTTACCTTTCTGCTGCCTTCGCTACTGAGCAGGAATTGTGGATTATTTACAATCTCATTGCAGTTGTGTGTTTTGAGGCATTTTTGAAGCTGATTTGGTTTTCCTAGCCAACAGCATAATGTGAGATTAAAAAAAAATCCTACTCCTTTGCCAGTGGTGCACTTCCCACGTGTGATTTGAGCTGAGAGTGAAGTTGCATAGTCTGCTTCTTCAGCGGTGCTGATGGTTGGATACCCTGCTGACACCGGTATGCAGGTTTGCTTTCAGAGGTACCTGCTGTCATGACATGCTTCTGGCTGCTTCTTCCAAGCAGTAAGCTCAGAATGTTCCAGTAAACACTGGCTTGGTCTTCAGGTACCAAGTTACTTCTCAGTATGTAATAAACTCAGTGTATTACAGATAAACTGTGTGGGCTGCACCACTTCTGTTCTTACTCAATTGTATTACAAGAAGAAAAGCCTAAATTCTCCCATTTTTTTTGTGTCCAGAGTTTGCCAGACTTGATTCACCTAGTACAGAAATACCTGCAGATTCCTAGTGCTAGTTTAGGAGGAGAAGTCTAAGAGGTGATGTGAGCATGTACTGTTATTTCCTTAGATTGTAGAGAACAATATTCTTAAGAAATGCAAGCGTCAGTAACATGCTCCTTGCTGTATGCAGGTATATAAGGAGACGTAGCGTATATGTACTGCATGTGTAGTAGATGTGTCAGCTGTGTGTTTTTGTAACACTGTCATAGGATATTCAAAATGCAGTAAGGAAAAGCTGTTGCACCATCCCATTTACATGTACTTTGTTTTCTACCCCACAGTTTGCACACTTTTTTCTTCCACAAAATGCTACAGTAGAGCCGCAGAGCTCATGTGGTGAAGGTAACACATCTCACCCAGTACTGGTGTTGGGTTTTGGCGCAGGACATTCATTAAGCCTGAATTTCTCAGACCATGCAGACAAGTACCAAGTCGAAGAGCTAGTTTTCCACTACAACCTCTCAGATGCTACTATATTCCATAATTCAACTGCAGGTAAAACGAAAGCTTCCTGTTCTCATTGTGTAACCCTTCCAGGTGTAATGCTGATTTGTTTCTGTACATACTGCTGCGTACTAATGCTATGTAATCTCTTCACAGGAGAAGTGAAGAGAGTATCGCACAAAACCATTATTCAGGCATATGTGGGCACGAGATACAGGTGCATCAGCTCCAAGCACGTCAATATGAAGAACGTGAACGTTACTTTTAGCAATGTTACTTTGGAAGCATTTATCACAAACGGCACTCTCAGCACGAACAGTAGGTATCTTGTAGCAGAAGACTGACTTGTTGACCTTCCTTGTTTCCAATAATAGTTTATTTCCTTTTAAGTCCTGACTAAGCACATCTAGGCAGGTGCAAACTGTACCTAAAGCTCTGGTAGCAGCACCTCTTGAAACAAACAGACCTGCTTTCCGTTTTCTCTGTAAGGGTGTCGGCATCTGTGACTGGGAGAGAGGGCACTGTGTTCCCAGGGGTTTTGTACAGGTGTTGGGGAACATTCCTTCTGTTCATGAGTATTTATGGGTGTAAACACATGCTGCAGTAGGTTGGCTGGGCACATGGCCAAAATCCTAGTTTAAGTAGTATCTTACATTTCCAGGTACTATACCTCTACCAAAGTAGTTTGAACTAGTTCCTGTGTAGAAAATCAGTGCTATGATGGCAGACAATGGAGAACTGGTCTGTAGGGAGCAGATGGGTACATCTTCCTATAGGAGGCCTTATGTAAGCTGTTACAATTATGTTCTTTGTCAGGCTTGACTGCAAAACGACTTTTGGTACTGCTTGCTTGTATTGAAAAGCATTTAGAAATTTCATTGCTGTAATGATTAGAAGACAAGCTTCTTCATGGTGTGTTCACGGCCTTTGATTTTGTGGTAACACTCTTCAGTTTACGTAGCTCTCGATATTTGATCATCTGTGGTATCTCATGATAGATCTTTGCCTTACTTCTGGGGCAAGTCAGAAGTCTCATTTCTCTGGGACATGCAGAACTTTCTTATGCTGTTAATCCCATTTATGCACCTGTTGAACCTTAAAATCTAGGGTAGTCAGTGCTGGCATGCGAAGGATACGTGGAACAAGTGCCTTCTGCAGGGCTATCCATACCTTGTCCTGTGTCTCTGAAAAAATACCTTGTCTGATGCCTGATAATACTGGAGTTGACTTCTTTTATGGCTGCCCTCGCATGACTGGCTCAAGTTTCACTGTGTATCATTCTCTTGATCAGTCTTTTCCATTCAGTGAACTAGTTCACAGCAGATGTGGACCTACAGTTGTCATTTAAAACCCAAAACCTGATTTCTATGACTCTCTGTCTTCAGAACTATCTCATTTTTTTTTAAATACAATAGCTTGATCCAGGTGTTGTATTGGGTAAGTGTAATAAGTGATCAGTGATCAGCAGGCTCGAGCTCAAGCTGTGGTACTGGGAAAAGCTGGTTTTTAACTTCTATGCAACTTCAGTAATCTTCCTTTTAACACCATGTATTATCTGTTCTTACATACTCCTTTGGTTTAAAAAAAGGTCAATATTGCATCATTTCGGGAGGGTGTTCCTTATGCAACACAATTTTTCAGCATTTATTTTCTTTTCCTAATTACTACTTTTTTTTTTTTTAGGTTAATATGAACACTTTAATTTCCAGGGCCACTTCCCCACAGTTGCTTTTCTCCATCCTGTGGTATCATTGTCTTGATGAAACTACTGAACTTCAGAAAAAGACACATGACTCTCTGTGATCCTGGGGTAGACACTGTTTGGTCTGAGTTTAAGCTTTTTTAATTGTTTTTGTTTGTTTCCACATTCATGTTGTCCATACTGCTACACTCAGTTTGTTTTTTAAAATTAGTATCCCTAGGGTTTTTTACTGTCTTGGGACTGCACCCAGATTCTTTTCTTACCCCAACTGCACAATGAGGTCTCTTCTTCATATGGGTTGGTTTTGTTTAATTCAGACAGTTAAAGAATTCTTAGTTTTGGTTGGTTTTTTTTTGTTTTGTTTTTTTAAATCTTGACCCTGAAATCACCTTGTTCTTTCCAGATCAGTTCCTTCTGTCCACTTCTGTAGACCTGAGACTTCCCTTGGCACCTAGTTATTGATAAACTTCAGATCTGGAATTCTCCCTTAAAGTTTTTCCCTGCATCTCCTTCATTAGTGGATATTTCTGCTGGTGATCTGAGCAAGGCTCACTGAAGGGAAGAAGTGTCAGTATTCTGTGCATCGCCAGAAACTTCTGTTAACATTCTGGTACCTTCTGTCAGTGGACATAGAAGCTAGTGACTGAGGTTATGGTAGTGATGATCAGTAGCTCTGAAGAAAAGGAGGCTTTAACTTTGTTGGTAGTTTTGTCAGCTGCTTTTCTGTAACTGTCAGAAAGACATGAGAGTTTCTCATCTCCCAGTCTGTCTTGAGGAATTACTAGGAGCTATGCTGTACATTAATTCAGTAAAAATACTGTATCAAGGCTCCACCTTGGACAAACTTCTACTTGAAGTGATATGGTTGTTACTAAGCTGTGTGCTGTGGTCAACACGCTGGAGG